CGCGACATTGACAATGCCATCAAGGCAATCTCGAGCAAAGAAGCACAAAGGACGCAGACATCGAAGACTCGGGCTACGAATCGGCAGGGAGCTCCTCCCCACAAAAACTAGCAGCGCCAGAGGCGGGCGACATTTATTCATCCACTCCGGCGAGAGAAAAGGGGTTCAAGAAGCATGATGTACCGCAGCTGCCACAGCCGGTTCCCTTCGCAAAGACAGGGCCGCCGCCGTCGCCAGCGCAACCGACGGCGATTACGTGGAGTCCCGGCCTAACGCGTTCGCGAGAACCGCCGCCATCGACCCGTCCGACAACGGATCTCTGGAACTCTATCTTCATACAACTCAAAGAACCAGAAAGAACGTTCAAAGGACCCATGGAAGAGTATGCAACCAAGAGCACCATCAAAAATTTCAAGACACTCGATGAACTTGCGAGATCATACGAGAAACCACGGAGGGCACCAGACATCTATAACCAGGCTGGAAACGGCGCGCAGCAAAGGTCGTGGGTGCAGTTTTCGGCGCGATATCTGCCTGGAGCGAATAGGGGAGGCTCGAAGACACCAATAGGTGCCCTGTATCCGAACCTCAGGAGACCATGGCCATGACAAGGCTGGTGATGCGGGATAAGGATGCACCTTTTCTTACTAGTTTCATCTTCTTGTCAGTTTTTCACGTGCAGTACACGAAAGTAATGGAATCCTGTCACCGCGCCTTGAGTTAGCAACGCCTCAAGAATGAAGTGTATTCAAAACCAATACATTTAATATCAGCTGTATGCCAGATCTAGTCCCATATCGCCTAGTGATGCAGACCGCCACTCGTAACCAGAGATCCTCATGCTTGCCCGCCCCATCCGTATATAAACACCGTCTTCATGCAGTCGTGAGTAAGAACAAAGGAAGACGACGAAAAGAAATCAACCAAATACATCCATCTCTGGCCAGATTTACGGCTCAGCCTCGTCGTCTTCAGAGTGGTCCTCAGTGCCCACCCAGTCGTCGCTTTCAAGACCGCGATTTCGGATGCCCATAGTGCCAAGCCAGCCGAGGAAGGCGATGCCGCCGAAGACTCCCCAGGCAAGAGCCTCGCCCTTGGGACGAACGTCGATGGCGATCGTGAAGAGTCCGCCTGAAACAAAGGGACCAATACTGCGGCCAGCAGCGGACAGAGATTGAGCGATGCCATTGAGAGTGCCGAGAGTGCCGTGTGTCGGTGCACAATTAGTAATCTTGATGTGTTAGCCGTGCGTCTCGTGGCATGAGGGGAAAGTGGTATACTGACTAAAAGCATGACGCTTGATAGTCCACCAACAGCGCAGATGTTTTTGAAAACGAGAACGGCAATCAGTTCAGCATAGAGCCATGCTTGACCAGTTCCAATTCCGAAGAGTGGCTTGTCATCCTTGTAGCCAATCCAGGGCATGAGAAGCATGCTGACGGCGAGTCCCAATAGGGCAATGCGGTAGCTCCCCAAGTTGCCAAGTTGCGCCTTGAGATGCTGAAAGATGAAGGCCTGGAAGATGATAGTAGCGACACCCGCCGCACTCAGACAGACACCGATGGTGCTGGGCGACAGATCGCGACCGGCGGGGGTATCGGCGTTGGCGAAAATAGGATACAAACCATTGAATGAGATGTTCGAGAGCTGGAAAACAAGATACGTCAGAAGAACAAGGATGGTGTTGCGGCTTAGAATCTGGCGCCATGACGTGTGCTCGTCTCCGTGCTTGGTATCCTCATCCGTGCCATCTAGATCAGAGGAATGATGCAAAAGGCCTTGGCCCTCTCCGGCGTGCCCTTCGTCATCCTCTTCATCGTCCTCATCGTCGTGCTCCACGACAGCGCGCGATCCTTGTCGAGGCCAACGCGAGCTCCAAGAGTTGCGTCGCGGCTCGGTCGAGCCCCATATCTTGGACCAGGCATTTCGAAGCCACTCTGGAATCCAGGCCTCGTGGGCGTCGTCATGGGCGCTCTCCAACGTCTCCTCGAACCAGATGCCAACGACAACGACACTGAACAAAAGAAGACCAGCGCTGATCAGGTTCGGGGCGAGGTAGGGATAGGTTGGCGTGAGCTTGCCGACGAGAAGGCCTCCGAATGCAGGGCCAGTGATGCCTCCGAGCGAATAGATGACGGGGAGCCAGGTAAAGGCCCTGCTCTGATTTGAGCGATCCGTGACCTCGCCCAGCACGGTTGGCACGACGGCAGCATTGCCGTTGAGCATGCCCATGGCCACATGGACGACGATGATCTGCCAGTATGCCTTGCAGAAGCCGAAGGCCACGAAGCAGCCCATCAACATGAAGGTGCCGAGCACCATGGTGGGTTTTCTCCCCACGACGTCCGACAGGTATCCCCATAACAGGTTGGTTGACAGCTGGCCAGC